TTGTTAAACTTAATATAAAAGGAAAATAGTTATAAGTTATTGTATATATTATTATTGGATTGATATATTATGTGTGTATGTATACGTGTGTGTGTGTGTGTGTCTCTGATTCTAAATCAAACTGCCTTTACTTTTGGTTGGAGCTTTGTTTGGTTCATACTATACTTCCTTAATCTTATCGACATGAGCCAGGATTGATCAAGGTGCGCGGTTGTTGGTTAGCGGGTGCTCTGGCGTGGTCTTTATCTCTCCTCCTCCTCCTTTTTTTTGTTGTTGTTTTGTTTGTTACCATCTTGTAACACCTGTGGTAAACTTCGGCACTTAAATGATGTAAAACTCTTATTAAGATCAAGGTGCTCTAACCATTAAAAATTGATTGTTATTTTTGTAGGTCTGAATCATCGAGGGCTATTGCCCTTGCCTCTGTTTTCTCTGCTTATGTCGTCTGTGTGTTTCTTGTTCAAGGGGCCATCTTGCAAACACACTGCTCATTCATACCTGATCTGCATTTGTGGTGGAGTAGTTAGACATTTCACCATCACACTTGCTCGCAGATGACACGAGTTTGATTACCGTGCGGGGGAGAATTCTCACTGAGAATCTCCAGTCTTTCTGCTGGGATGTTGTATCCCTATGTTGAGTCGGTCCGTGGGTGGTTGGCGGGTGCTCTGGTGTGGTTTGCTTCTTCTTTCCTATCAAACATCTATCGTTTTTATCTCCCCTCCTTCTTTTTTGTGTTTGTTACTCTCTTGTTACACCTCTAATCTTCAGCACTTATATGACCTTATTGTGTTGCAAGTGCCGTAAAACACTAAAACTAAAAAACTGAGTCGGTCTGGGTTGGCCCTGACAGTCAGTCGTTGTCGAAGCTGGCCTGTTAAGCAATCTAAATTGTGTCAAATGGGCTGTAAAAGAACCTACAGTGTAAATGAACAAGGAATGAATAACGAACTAATACACATCAGATTTTGTCAGTTTTACAACTTTTGTAGTAGAATGAGACTGATGTGGTCTGACTAGTGGTAGTGGCTATCTTTGTTTTGTATTTAGCCAGGTGGTCTGGCTTTTTTTTTGTCTGTGGTGCACGTCCTTGACCTTGAACCGAAAGTATATATATCATGACCTTGGCTTTACCTTGTCCCTGACCTTGAAAGTTGAACAGAAAATGTGTCATGGCCTCTGTGGGCACACCTTCCTCTCTGAGCAATGAGCTTCTTGATATCTTTGTGTGTGTATGTTGACCTAGAGATGAGTACTGTAGTTTGACACTTCAGTCTGAACTGAGAGATGTGTTTGACCTTGAGCCCTACGTGCTGTGACCTTGACCTCATTGTGACTTGTGTGCTGGTAGTAGCGTGCCATGTCCAGCCCATGAAGTCTGTGGGGAGGAGCTCACTCATGCATTTTCTGTCATCACATTGTTGTTATTATAATTATTATAATTATTATTATTATGGCTAGCCATGCACTTACATCTAATTGTGAGGCAGCGTGGTGGAATCAGGCTCTCGTCAATTTTTGGGCATGTAGAGTTATGGGTATCATCTTCAAGCTTGTTCACTTGTCTTTATTTGGATGGGAAAAAAACCCATTTATCTTGAATGTAAGTCGAGATATTGGCGAGTGAATGAGGTGGGGGTCACCTGTTTTCAGAGGTAAAATTAGTGAGAAAATGGCCGCCAAAGATTAGTTATTTCCTTAGCTTGAGAGTCCGTGGTAACTGAAAGTTTACGTTTTTTGTGCCTTTAATCAATCAATGTCTTTCAGAAAAATCCACACAGAAATGAGTTCTTTAATGGGCCTGAAAGGTGTTGAGCCTAAAAATAAAAAGTTGATAAAACTTTACAAACCTGCGGAAAAATGCCAGTTTCTTCACTTTGATTATTTTGACGAGAGCCTGATTCCACCACGCTGCCTCACATTTATTATTATTCTAATCTCTCTCTCTCTTTTTTTTTCTTCTCACTGATAACTAACCTGTTTTTGTTTTGTTTTTTTCTGTTGTGTATGTTCGGTCTTGGGATGGATTTTTCTGTTTTTTGTTGTTTGTTGTTGGGTTGGTGTTTTTTTTGGTGATATATGTAAACTTTTTTTTTAATGGTTTTGTGATACGCATATTCTGTGTGTCAAAAATTGATGCCTTTTTTTTTTTTTGTGCCTATTCTTTTTTTCTTTTTTTTTTTTTCAAGTTGTTTTTTTTGGGGGGGTTAAAAAAAAACTTCTTTTTTTTTTTTTTTTGGTTCTCAGCCGGGGTTTGTTGAGGAGCTGTCATAAAAAGTTGGTTGACATTTTCTTTTTTGGAGAGGGGATTGTTAGGTTGGGGGGTTTTTTTGGGTTGTTTTTTTAGTTGTTTTTTTTTCCACTTTCACGCCAGGGGTTTGTCATCTTTTTGCGTGTATGAGAGAAAGTAGAGAGAGAAAGCCAGCATGTATGAGTATAATTATGTGTCTTTAATTATGTGTCATAACGTCGTCGTCGTCAGGATCTGTGTCATTGAGTATTGGTTGAGACTAACAACACTGCCCGAGAGAGGCTATGATGAACTTGTTACACGTACGCTTGTGACTTACTGAATAGTTATGATTATTATTACTATTATTATTACAATTATTACTACTATTACGATGATTATTAATATTGCAATTGGTATAGCCTCCTTGTTTGGGTGGCCGCGTAATAATAATTTACTATATTATTATAAACCTGTACATAGAAAGAAAGGATACACCTACTAGTTTTGCCACCTCATTACTTGGTATAACCTTCATCATGAGCTATTATTTCCCCTCCCCCCCCCTGT